CACACACACTGTGGAGCAGAGACGTTACAGCTGTGTACAAAGACTGAAAGCCTGCTCAGTGGGGGGTCTGTGGGCTCAATGCCTGCCAGGCTTAAAGTTTCAGTGCAGGGTGTCAGACCCCAGAGAAAAGTTCAAAGGTCACGACGCTGTAGGTCGAGGATGGTTGAGGCGCTGTAAATCCTGCATGTGGTGTTCACAACACTTTAACACACGTGGGTCTAGCCCAGGACCCACATGACTCACACTCTCATTGGTTATGTAAACTTTGTGTTTACTTCTTTGTTTACTCGACTCAACCTACTGATTCTTTATTACATGACCTTCTCAAAGTAATGTGTTAAGATGTTAGCTTTACATACACACGCTGCTAATCAACAACACAAACTCCACTGAGACTCTCTGCATGTGTGAAATGAGCTTACCTTTGTGGCTGAGTCCACCGCCGCACCCCTGTCCAGCAACTCCTGGACCAGGTCTATGTGCCCCTCTTTGGCTGCCAGGTGCAACGCATTAAGACCATTCTGGAAAAAAGACGTCAGACGTGAAGACCGAAGACAACAAAGAGACACGCTTCCAAAGGGAAACAGAAGGCACTACCTCCTCGTCTAGGTCCCCCACTGAGGGTGCCTGCCTTTCTGTCTCTGCGTCCATCGTTTGAAAGTGTGAAAGGCTTCAGCCTCACATGGACTGGCTGACTCATACAGTTGGATTAGATGTTGAGCCATGTTATGCTGATGTGGATCCAGCTCTGGGTATGAAGTTAAAAATAGTTGTGTGTGCGTGTTTTTAAGTTGTAGGTGTTGCTGTATTAATACTGGTTTGTGATGGAAACTGTAGATCCTTAGATTACGTTTCACCTTGTAAATCACTTCTGTTAATATCTGTAGTGCACGAGTGCACGAGTGTCACGAGTGTCACGAGTGGAGCAGCTGTGCAATGACTCAACAAAAGCAGTGGGACAAACCATCAAAACTAAGGATTAGAAAGTGGCACAAGAGCAAAAGGTTCATTGTGTTCATCATGTTCACTTACAGAAATGCTCATCGTATAAACACAGCATGTTACACACTGACTCTTGCTGAGGAAACTTCCACAGTGTCTTAAACACCAGAGCTTCAGCTGTGAGTTGTAGTTGGGATTCATGTGTATTTGGTCAAAGTCCGAGCAGTTCGAGTGGCATTAGGCTAAAACAAAGTTCTTAGGAAAAGCTTTCTGTAAACATAAAGCTCCGACTGCATCGATGGACCAAACAACCTACGGTTCATAGTTTTGGGGACTTTGTCAGGGTTAGTAGTTGAAAATAGGCAGTACAGAGGAGGAAGGTGACACATGCTCAAAGAGAGACAAAGTAAAGTCCAGACCTGAGCTGAGCCATATGTGTCTAATGTGAACATGAATACATGAATACAGTTTCTGCAGTTACGTTGGCCTATGTGAGAGCCAATAACCCGAGCATCAGTGATCCTGGTGTCTGCTATTCTAAATGTTTGCCTTACACGATGCAACAAGACATGCACTGCACCACGCCACTAAGTGTTAACACAGGGAACTGAATCCAAATTCTCTTGAGGGACTTACAGGTAAAGGAAAGCTGGTTTGAGGAGCACCAGAGCAGACTAAACACACCTTTGCAGGGCACTGAGATGTAACGAGGTTGTGTAAATCACATCCCTTCAGTGTGTTGACGATGGTTACAGGGACCAAACAGCTCATACTCCCAAAGCACCCACCACACCGTGGGACATGGTCCAATGCTCTAACTCTACAAAACAAACGCACACATCATTCCTCAGCACGCTCGAATATCCTCCACAGAGTAAAGAGCTGGTCCACGGTTCCAGGACCAAAACCTCCATGTTCCGCCTGACGCTTTGACCAATGAGCTAACTCCCCTGTCCAGAGCGCTGGGTCAGACCTTCCCAAGGAGGCTGAGGCGTGAGACCCCCCCAACCTCCGCTCCCCCTTTGTTAAAGGTGTCCACAGACACAGATGAAAGCATGTCAGTGGGATTAAGGAGGTCAAGTAAGTATTCCTTCCACCACCAGACGATATCCACCTGA